TTTAAGGCAAAGATTGAGATGCATGCTAAATAACATATCCCCAGATATTTTCTTTCTCTTCTAAGGCTCAGAGTCTAAGAAGATGTGGTATCTATGGGTTTATTATGATGTCTACATCACTAGCCTGAGAGTTCACCAAGGGCAGGGACCAAGCTCTCCTTTCTGTTCCCCCAACCTAACCCAGGGCTGGACACATGTAAGACTTCCAGTCACATCTGTTGAGTAACTGTCTCAGTCCTGGGATGATTTTCGTCACTAATCCTGTTCGATGTCAAGCATTGATGTTGTTTGAACCAAACCAAGAGGAATGAAAGAGAAACCTCATAGTGAAGTAAATTCCCTGAGTGGTCTCCTATATGTAGTCGGGGGAAGGCGGACCAGATTGAGAGGTTACTGCTATACCTGAATAAGGTGATATTAGATTACTTTAAAAAGGTTTAACAGAACCTTTGAACTTCAAACACAATATATCTCTGGGGGAAAAAGAAAACTTTCTACTTGTACACTACAAAGACAGTGTTGTTTCCCGGCACAAATGCACTTCTGCTGAGATACTGCTTTGCGAAAGTACTGCTAAGACACGATGAGTGACCTTAGAAACGGGTGGGGAGGTGTGTTGGGTGGGAGGCACCCCCATTAAGACAGGCAGCACCCACACACATGCTTATGGGTTAGCTTCTCATCTCTTCCAAAAAGTGGAATAGGACTGGGAGTAGCAATAAGGAAAAAAACTACAAGAATTTGACCTTCTTTCTTTTTTTAAAAAATCTGTGGCTTTCTGTTACCTGGTATGCTGTGACATTTAAGCAATCTGAAATGTACCAGTTCAATCAAGGACTGCTAAAAAGAGCAATCCGTTCTCATTAGAAAGCACAACCAAAAGAAACAGGATGCACCAGAGAAAAGCCATGTTTTCGAGAGATATTACATAGCAACCAAGGCCCTAGTACAGAAAAGAGAACTGAGTGAACCATAAAATTTTAGGAAGGTCCAGAAATACAATCACTCGACAGCACATGACTGAAAACTCTAGGAGCAATAACGTGTTTTGTTTCCACAAAACAAATTATTGAAAGGGGTCATGTGATTCTGAGCAGGCAGAAAGATGCACTTTCCCAAGGAAAGTTCATCACTAAATATATTATTTAAGACTAGATCATCTTCAGGCTATTTTTAATCTTATCATTTTGCTGCCAAAACTGGCCTTAAGCAGCTGACACTTAGCCACTAGAAGAATGATGCTTTTTCACGTAATTTGTACGTTGGCATGAGAATGGTATTGCATTCCAGTTAATCAAATGTTTTGCTGGATGTGGACTGCACTCAGAAAAGAAAAACTGGTTGCTGACTAACTAATAAAAAGAAATCTGACCTCTACTGAGTGTGGAGAAGTTCCTATCTTCCTAAACCACCAGCACCAAAAGACAAACGAACAAACAAACAAACAAAATCAGACAACCATCTCATCAACAGGATGAAGCCAAACAACCTCCTCTAATCTCTGGTTGAATCATCTCATTCTTTTAATAGTCTCCATGTCACTCTCCTCTAAGACACGAAAGTGAATGTCATCATATTTCTCAGTATGGAGGATGATAATCATTTTCACTCACCATCACTTGCCCATGTATCAACCCATTGCCTCCAAGATCCCTTTGTCTCAAAGCAGTGGAAGGGTACTAGAGTCACTTACAGAATATGTTATGAGAGGACAAAATCATAATCTATTTAGCTATTAAAAGGGCTAACTCTCTTGCCTTTAATTGAAGAAGAAAAGAACTATCTTACTTTTTAATGGGACCAATAAGGACAATACAAACTGTATAACTACCATGAAAAACACTGAGAAGGTTGGGTGTATGGTAATTCTCCTCCTATGTCTCATTCAATCCAATCTGTTTCTTCCCAGAGTCAGATCCTCTAGTGGATGGCTGAGAAATATTCAATGTCCCAGATAATTTTATGGACCTGTGAGGCCACTGGAAGGGGACAAATGCAGAAAAAAAAAAAGATGCCCCCAGCAATCAGGGAGGGTAGTCAGCATCTCTAACTTTAATATACACACCAACCACAGATACTCACTAAACAGCTCTGGGATGGAACCTGAGGTTCTGCATCACCAAGAAGCTTCAGGAGATGCACATGTTGCTGGTCTATGAGACAAGCTTTGAGCAGCAAGGTCGTCGACATTTTCTACAACTGTTCTCTCTTGCTGCTCCCTCTGTCCTGCCTTTCTCTGGATGCCACACAGTGCCTTATTCAGGCTTAGGGATAAAGTCATACTCCACCCTACACTTAATTACTTCTTTAGTCTTTATTTAATTTGTAGGCTTCTGCGACAGTCTACCAGAGGCTCATAATTCCAAGAACCTGATTTCTCCCCATTATGGAATATGGTATGCAAAGAGTGTTCCTCAGCCTCAGAAGGTTCTGATTATGCAGAAACAGCGGCAAATAAAAAGAAGTGACTTGAAGTCTAAAGCATGGAGTATTCAGTAGATGAGCTGATCCACTGAGACCTGGAAACAGCACAGATTATTTTCGCATGACAAGAAAATATGCTAGCTCTCCTCTGAAACTTTACCACTAAGACTACTTTACATTGTACGATGAAACATATTCTTGGAGATGCAACCCTACCTGGGACAAACTTGGAAGAAAATCTGTCTGTGTGCCAAACAGCTAAAATTCCAATTCAGATTAATGCATATGTGAAATGATAGGCAAATCATTCCTATTTCTCAAATGCTACCGCTTTTACCACTTTTATTACAGTATCCACATGATTGTATTTCCTGGTTTTGTTCTGTTCTTTCTCTCTCTCTCTCTGTCTCTCTTTCTCTTTTGACAAATTCCTTTGTTTTCTTATATAGTCATCCACCTATGTGTTTTTCTGAAAACTATAACACATTTTACCAACAGCCATTTGTGCGTCTATATGATTTATTTTTACTAATAAAGGTTTTTTCCAAAAATTTTTTATCATGTTCTACAGCATGTCATTGTGGTTTGGCATCATAAAACGTAGACTCTACTTTTATCAACCTCAGATACCTGTTGACCACAAAGATAAGCTTTACTATGAAAACTCTATTTTGAAAGGAGGAAAAAGTGAGCCTTTACTTAAACTTCAGTTGTATGAGATTTTAACATATTGAAACTCAACAAGAGAGATCAAGGTTATACATGGCACTGTTTCCTACCTTTTTATTAACTTACTTGATAGATGACCTTTACCACCTTGGATTACTTCTAACTAGAAAGAAAAATGTTAAGTTTTTTTTTTCATAATAATATGAAATAGTAAAACTATTAAATCAGTTTTACTTTGGTTTTAAAATGATCCTTTTGGAAGTCCCTACCTCTTTGATTATGTTGGTTAAAAACCAACCCCCCTACTTAACCAAATATTTAACAAAAATATTCTTTTCACCCTTTGGCAAATTCTTCCTGAATTACTAAAGATCTGATAATGTGTGATCTCAACAAACAAACAATTCACAAAGAGCATTCAAATTTTAGAGATTTAAAATGGAATATTTTAGTTAATTTTACTTTTAAACACTGAACAGTGGCATAAATATTTTGTCAACTTTGGTCAAATAAGATCATATGTTCCCATCAATCATCTACTTTTCTTGGCCTTTTCTCTTCCTGGCCCCTTAATATTAGCACACTTTGTAAAATGTAATAAAAACATGTTAATGTGCTTCATGACATCTAATCCACGAGGCTTTTTGCTCCTGTTCAGTCCTATGAAATAATAACATTAGTCACCCCCCCCCCCCAGACAGGATAAAAGGAGGCATTACATCGCATCCCTCTACCAAGATAACTCTTTAGATTAAAACAAAAGGCCTAAAAAGAAACTTCAGACAAGAATTATTACTTTTTCAAAAATTAATCATTTTGGATAGAAGATGCAGGTCTTAATTATAATCTTTGAGTCTTCAGTTCTGAACCTCTCCCCCCTAAATCACAGAAAAGTAGAACCATATAACAAAACGATCGAAGCGCTGTCTAGGACGGTACCAGGAAAAAAAATCATCTCACAGTTGTTCTTCAAGGCCACAGGTATCAATCACACCCAACTAAAGTCAGGTCATGGGACAATCCACAGCTAAGAATCAATTCTTCAACACTTTATACATAGATACCCTAGACGTAAATTTTTTCAGTAGAGGAGACCACAAAATTAAGTATATTCTAGGTGGTATAAAGTAAAAGATACTAATATTCCAGTGAACTTTAAATTGCACATGAATTATATAACACACAAAGTAGGCAGCCAAGGCCAATTCTGCCACTGATGAGATAAAGTGAAAGCAGCCACAGCCTAAGGTTCAAGACACCTCATTGTGCTGACTGGGAATATGGCACACCGTGTAGACTGGAGTCCAAGGACCTTGGAATGTTAAACTTACTCTTCATAAACACTACTGTTTTCCAAGAAAAGGGGCTATATTGGTTTTCCTCTTTTGGAAAATTTTACTAAGTCAGAAAAAACTTGACCTTGGTCCTCTGGTGGAGTCTGTCCTTCTAATTGGGTAGTTCTCAACATTTTAGTACATAAGGACCTTGTTCAAGGGGAGCTTGTTGAGGATGCAGGTTATCAAGACTCAACCTAGGGATGTGGTTCGCAAATGGCCCCTGAAACCTCCAGCTTCAAAAGGCTACCCAGGCCATGGAACTGTGATGCTGGGGAACCCAGTTTGAGAAACACTGAAGGGATGCCATTTATCACAAAATCCTACTGGATCGCGAATGCTGGATCTTTGAACCGCAACGGCCGGCAAGCAAGTTAAACACTTTTGGCTGGAAGGACTTATCACAGTCAGGTTGGCAGGGAGCCTCTGTCCAGAGGAAAAGGAGGGAAACCTGCTTTTATTCCACTGGCTCCGCAGCCTGCCCTTACCCCAGGAGTCCCCCCACACGCCAACCCCCGCATTTCAGCTCTGAGACCTCAAGCCCAACTCACATTCAAGCAGGCAAGCACCTACCCAGCCTCCGTTATCCTGGATCCAGGTGTGCAGGTGCCGGTTCAGGTACTCAGTCATCCACAGGGCGATGTTGTCCACCAGGGGCGACATCTCCCGGTTGACGCTCTCCACACACATGACCCCACCGAACTCAAAGAAGGCCACGATCCTCCCCCAGTTCACCCCATCCCTGAAGAGCTCCTCCACCACCGTGGCAAAGCGTCCTCTCGCGGTGAAGGGCGTCAGGTGCAACTGGCTGGACATCTCGGCGAAGTCGCGGCGGTAGCGGCGAGAGAAGTCATCGCCCGCCTGGCGGAGGGTCAGGTGGACCACAGGTGGCACCGGGCTGAGCAGAGGCTCCGCGGCGGCGGCGGCGGCGGGGGCGGCCGGGGGCGAGGTCCTGGCGGCCGGGTCCCGGGGCGCAGCGGGAGTAGGGGTGCGCCCGGGCTGGGAGGAGAAGACGCCCGGCGCAGTGGCGGCCCCGGGGGGTGCAACGCCCACGTCTCCAGCATCCCACTCGTAGCCCCTCTGCGACAGCTTATAGTGGATGTACTTCATCACTATCTCCCGGTTATCATACCCTGTTCTCCCAGCGTGCGCCATCCTTCCCCCGAGGAAAAGCGGCCGGGTACCAACTGCACCTCTCGCCCCCGCTCCCACCCCACAGCCCCCAAAGAAAGAAGAATAGTTATAATCCAGCTATTTTATTGGATGTGCTTTGCATTCTTGGATGAGGGGGTGTCTTCAGTCACGCGGAACACTTGATTCTGGTGTTTCCCCTTGGCATGAGATGCAGGAAATTTTTATTCAGATTCCTTTCGGATTTTTATTTCATGAGGCACATTATTATTAATAAGATTGTTAATATCAGTCTACTTCCTCCGTGATGCTGTAAGGTTAGAAAAAGAAAGTAGTAAGTAAAAATCAGGTGCATATTCCTTTACACGCTGGGTGAAAGGAGGGCATACACACTACGAGTTACACAGCTAAAAAGAATGTATTAAACTGCCTGGAAATTAAATTTACTCGAATGCACTTAAAGTTAAAATTTCAAATGTCTCCATTGAAAGTTACATTAAACCAACTTCCTGTGAAAAGAACTTACTTGTATTTTTTAAGGACAGCATGATCCTCTGTCAAGTTTCCTTTTTGATCAAACCAAAGCAAATGCATAAGGCAACGATCCCATCAATCTTCAGAACTCTCCGGTTATAGCTGCTTTGAAACTTCCAAATGAATCAGGAGTAGAGGGGAGTAAAAATCAGAAGAATTTCCAGATTGAGTCCCAGATCTGGGGTTTCACAGAAATGTCAATCCGTAGGAATCCCAAGCGCAGATTTCAAGAGCACGAGAAAAGAAGGCAGCGGCGGCAGCAGATGAATTACAATTCTCAGTCCAGGATTTGCAGAAGTCCTGCGGTTTCCCCCCTTCTCGGCAGTTTACCCACGCACAGACACGCGCGGGCACAGACAAGGCTCTCCATCCACGGGACCGCTCCGAGCCTCCACGAGAGAGAGACAGGGGAGGCGGAACGAGGGAAGAGCCGGGAACGGGGACGGGAATCCTCTTCTGATTAAACTCCGAACAGCAAATGCATTTTCCGAAAAGCTGCTTGATAAATGAAGGCAGGACGCGCCCGGCCCGCCAGTGCCGAGCGCGAGAAGCCCGCGCTGTGTGTGGTGCGGCGAGGGGTGGGGAGAAGGAGGTGGTGGAGGAGGGTTTATTTTTTCCCTCTTTTCCTAAAAAGGATGACTGCTACGAAGTTCTCCCCCCTGGACCCCCTCTTCCGCTGCACCCCACCGGCGCACCCTTTCTCCTCCTCCTGTTCCAGCGCG